AATATTTATTTTTTAGTTTTCAGTGGACACAACATTTTTGTTTGTATGTGGTGCTGAGGATCGAACCTAGGCCGCACGCATGCCAGCAAGCGCACTACTGCTTGAGCCACATCCCCAGCCCTGACTTTGGAATATTTGCTTAGATATATCAGTTGAGCATACCCTTATCCAAAAAATCAGAAATCTAAAATGTACCATAATTTCAGAGCACTTTAGATTTAAAAATTTTTAGATTAGGGATGCTCACCCCTGTCATCCTTTTTCCAGATGAGGAAGCTGAAACCTCAAGTAACTTAAAGGTCAAAGAGCTTGTAAGCAGTAGAATTAGGATCTGAACCAGGTCTGTGGGATTCCTGAACTAATACTTTTTCTTCATTTGCTTTTTAAAATTGTGTTCTTTGGGGGCCCTTGGGGATTCAGCTAGAACTCCATCCTGGCCATGCTTGAGTCAGCTTCAACTAGGGAAGCTCTGCTTTTGTCTATTTCATTTATAATTTCTGAAGAGATTTAATTTGGATAAAAGGTTCCAAGATCAAAAATGAGTTTGAAAACAACAGGACTCTTGGGCCCTGTCTACTCTTTTGCATGCTCAAACACATCTCACACACCACTAGTCATACTTCTATCTCATGCTTAGCTTTTACCAAGCCCACTCCAAGGAGTACACATGGTTTCCTTAAGACCCCCCTTCTTGTTGGCATTTCCTATCCCAAATCTAACCTGATAGTGCCCAGGAACCTGCCTCTCCAAGTTTCCCTTGCAGGGTCCCTTTCTTGCTGGCTCTTCTGGGACCCTTATAAAGGGAAAGGGGCACTAATAGGGCTCAAGAATCTGGATGCTTCTTAGAGGAGAACAGAAGAAATCTAAGGATAGAAGGAAGAATGGAGTAGAGATATGGGTGGGAGGGGTCTTTCTCCCCAACACCATTAACAGAGGCTTCACGGGGTGACATTAAGAGGGTGGATTAGCCCAGATTGAGAATTGTCACTTGGTTCTGAATTTATTAGCAGCCTTTCTCAAGGAGGTACAGATGGGCAGCAGCCTGTATTTGCACATGCTAATGCCCCTTCAACCAGCTCCAAGAATGCAACTGTGCCCCACCCAAGCCAGGGACAGAGGTCAAGGAAAGAGGTTGAGAAACAGTTCCTGTTCTTTCCACAGTCAGATGGGTCTAGACCTTGGACCTGTCACTGAAGTTGGAGAGGCAGAGCTAGAGGGAACCCAGAAAAGAAGGACAGATTCAGGACAAGAGTGGAGGTGTGTTCAGCTCACTTCACTTTCCAATTTTGAGGTCAGGAGCCAGAGACTTGGAGCTGAAAAACTTGGGCCCAGCAATTCTCCATCGGAAGGGAGATGTCCTTGGGAAGGATCTATGGGGACGCTGATCAGTAGCTTTTCCCAAATAGCTGGGAAGATGAGAGAAAAAGGTTTAGAACTAAGAGCTGTAAAAGGGGTGCTCTGAAGTCTGCTCTTTCTTTAGACGAAAGATGATCTTGAAATGCAAACCATGTCCCTCATTTTTCCAGGAGTTATGGAATAACAAGGCTGGGGAAAGAGGAAAAGTGGGTTTTACCTGTAGATAAAACTAAGTTCCATCACTGCCATTCATTCTTTCATTTTACTTTAGCTCCAGACTTCTAGTTTTCCAAACTCCCCTTCCCCCCAGCATTCCATACCTTGGTCTTGATTTCATCCTCTGTTTCAGCAGAGGGAGGTAGGGTGAGGAGGGATAAGGGCCAGAGTAAAAGATGAAGCTAAGAAAGCAGAGTTCAGGCTGTGTTTTCTCAGAGACAGACAGACACATGTGCAGAGACACACAGGCCCCCACTCAGACATAATAAGCACTTGGACTTGGAGAGAGGGGCACACAGACACACTCTCCCACACATGTGCTCCCACATTCAGGCAGACAGATACACAAAGTGATACAGTCTCCTCTCTCTGTGACAGGGACAGCTGCCTGGGCTGTTTTGGACCTAGTCATTACCCTTCCCCCTCTTCTCCCTGGCCCCTCTGAACCTCAGCTCTCAGTCCTAGGAGCTAAGGACTCTGTGTGGGGGAGGAGGAGGTCAAGGGGGCCAGGGAATGTTCTATCTTCAGTGGTTGCTGGGAAAAGCCTGCTTGGCTCAGTGGGGAGAAGGCATGAGAATGTAGGTGCTAGGGGGTGGTGATAGGGGACAAAAAGTATCCACACCTCTCTTAAGAAGATAATTTGGTATAGGCCAAAGGAATTCGGTTTGGAGTTAAATGTCCTAAGTTCACATCCTTTCCCCAACACACTACCTGTGTGTCCTTTACTTTTCTGGGCATACTTCTTCATCTCTAATAGGGAGATCAAAATCCCTTCCCTACCTGTCTTCAGTATTGTTATAAGGTTCAGATAACATGTAAAAAATGGATAGAAATAAAATTCTGAGAATTGTTTTTCTCATTTTTTGAGCAAATGTTTATTTAGCACCTTCCAGGAGCTGAACGTTAAGTTAGGAACTGAGGGTATAGTGAGGACTAAGAGCTCACCTTTGCCCCTGCCTTTACTTAAATGTTCACCTCCCCAGACTCTGTATCTTCCAGTGAAGAATTTCTCTGGTGAATAAAAAGGAGTATACTGCATTTCAGAGAGGTATGCAACACTGTCCTGAACATAGAAGGCCCAGACAATAATATAAGAACAGGAACAGTAACCCAAGTTGAAAGACACTTTGAAGAGCAGGGACTTGGGAAGAATGAAATCTTCAGGCTCTTGAATGGGTTATTAGGAGAGAGAGGGGGCAAGGCTGAGAAGGCCCTGACTGTGAAACTGCAGAGAGAAGAAAAGAACACTAAAGTCAGATGCACAGTGGAGAGATGTAAGCGTGGGGGCATAGTCTCCTGCTACCTCATGTCCAGGTATGCTGGTCAGGTAAAGGCTGGGGGTAACCAAGCTATGGTCTGAGCTGGAGACAGGCTGGTGGGAAATAAAGTTCCCCAAATTGCTAGTGATCAAGAAGCTGGGGAGTTGGGTCTGAGGCCAGAAATATCACCTCACTCAGTGGATGGGAAGGGACCAGCAGTCGGTGTAGAAGCTGCAGGATTGGTTGATGCTGGTAGGAAACATCAGGAGGGGCCACAGAGTCAAGAGATAACAGTGGTGGCAAGTCCTGCTCTGGGGGGAAGCTGCTTGTGCAGCCACATCCAGCCTTTCTGATACATACTCCTGCAGAGCCCAAGTTCCATCAGTATGATTGTGGCAAGCCCAGACCCAGGGAGAATAGAGGTCCTGCAGGTGTGCTATGATTCTGAAGTACAGACTGAATTACAGGAGGTCTTTTGTGGGATAGCAAGAAAAAAATATCCAGGATACACTAAGGTGGAAAACAAATCACAGGCCAGAGAAGCTTTGGTGGTAAAGCCAGAGTTTCCAATAAAACAACACAATCTCATGGCAAAAAGGCATAGGGCCCCACCAAAGTCTGAAGCCAGAGAGGGTCAACCAAGGCATCAGTGAAGGAGCCAGTGATAAACTGCAATAATAACACCTGAGGCAGGAGGCAGAATGCAGAACTTAAGTGGGGAAAAACCCCTTCTCTTGCAGGGATGGAATAGAGAGGAGAATACAAGACTAGTGATGCTGTGGTTCAGCTCAGCAAGCAGCAAATTGGGGAACTTAATATGAAACCATATTAAGTTGAGACTGAAGTGAGACACTTAAGTGGATGTAGGCTTCCATTCCTTAGAAAGGCTGAACACTCAGACTCCACTCAAATGGGAGCGATTTGAGACACCTTGGCTCACAGCCCTAGAATGAAGCCTCACAACTCCGGGTGGAGGCAGCAATGATTTGATGCACTCATGTTATCAAGGGGTGAAAGGAGAATCAGATAAATGATCCTACACCCTTCTCAGGATCCTTCCCTTGCTTCTTTTCTTCCGCAAGTGTTAGATGCTTAAAGGGATCCCCAAGAGTGGTAAGGCACAAACTAAATAGCCTACAATCTAGGGAGGCAAACTGTGCATGGAAAAATAGAGTGTACAGTTCTTACTCTAACACTGTGGGATATCAGAGAGATGAAAGCCCTTGTTAGGTGGTATCAAATGTCAGGGTCTCAGAGAATGTAGGGATCAGAGAATGTAAGGCACACTGGCACATATCTGTAATCCCAGTTGCTCAGGAGGCTGAGGCAGGAGGATCACAAGTCAACCTCAGCAACTTAGTGAGCGCCTAAGAAACTTAGTGAGACTCTATCTCAAAATAAAAAATAAAAAGGTCTGGGGATATGGCTCAGTGGTTAAGTGCCCCTGGGTTTAATCCCTGGCATCAAAATAAAACAAAATAAAATAAATATAAAAAAAAGATCAAGTGAGAGTTGAGGCAGAGAAGGATCAGGACCTTCTAAAGAATATAGCAATGTCAGGAATAAGCTGACAGATTCAGAGGGAAACAGGGAACTTTGCTTGGTCAGATTCTCTCACTGAGAGATCAGCAAAGAAAAATTGTTCAGGTTGAGGGGTCCTCTGAAGAGGGACAAGGAGTTCATATTTGGTTCTAGGGATTCAATCTAGGAGTGTTTTATCACTGAACTACATCTCCAGCCCTTTATTTCTTTTTGAGATCAGACATTGCTAGGTTGCTGAGGCTAGCCTTGAATTTGTGATCCTCCTGCCTTAGCCTCTGAGAGGCTAGGATTACAGGCAGGTGCCACCATGCCTGACTGCTATTTCATATGATATAGTCTAGACTATCCTATTTCCAACTTCTCCATCAAAAAGTTCCTAAGAACAGTAAAAAAAAAAAAAAAAAAAAAA